GGCAACGAGCACACGAACTCTTAACGGATAACGGATCCCGGGGACATCTCACAAACAGATTGGCTACTGGCGCGATCGGATTGGATAGGTACGTCAGCAAGGATACAGTCGTGTGGAAACGGAATGCTGACCGTGCAGTAGCGTTGACCAAGCGATCCGAAACACGGAGAAGAGGCTCAGGGCGGACGAGCTGACACGGTGTAGGTATCCCAGTTAGTCGTAGATATCATGTAACAGTCGGTGCCAAATAGGAACCACCCGTCTCGCAGACGACCGGCGAAATGCACGGACGGATATCGCCTTGCCCTGATGCCGAGACGGCAGGCGCAGAGAGGGACCAATGCGACGTCTCTACATTGACGCTCGCGAAACAGCACACGTGTGCAGTTTCGCGCACGACTGGTGTACTGAGTCGGCGAAACCGCACACGTGTGCAGTTTCGCGCACGACTGGTGTACTGAGTCGGCGAAACCGCACACGTGTGCAGTTTCGCGCATGATTGGCGTACGACGGCTGCGAAACTGCACACATGTGCCGTTTCGCTGGTACCTGAAGGGTCGCGCCTCCCCCCGAAGCAGCACACGAGTGCAGTTTCGCAGGCGTATCGAGGGCGAGTCGGGGGGAGACAGGACATATCCTCGGCATTCACGCTACCACGATGTTCGCGAAACGTCGTATGGGCGCTGTTTAGAACAGACTATTGAACGGAATACCAAGTACAATGTAGAGAAGAAGAGACTAATGTAATTGTTGAGACAGCCGACGCGAGTGTGCACGAGGAAGCGAGAGAGGGACAATGCAGTCGATATGTTCCACATCATCCGAGCGATGTGTCAGTAAAACAACGTTGTAAACATCTGTGTCCAAGATAAAATACCGTCGAGCGGAAGAGATGTGCGCACCGGTACTCGAATGGGCAGCGGGAAGAGGGAGAACAGCCAAGGCGTCTCGAACAGGAAACATGTGCACACGGTAGCGGGCACATGGCACAGGCGCCCGAATCTCAGCCAGCGCATCCGCTCATCATCTGCCTTCTCACACGTCGCATTCTCAGGTCTATTTCCTCTCATCCTTTGTTCTGAGGCCTTCCCACAATCTGACGATCTTGACGCTTCTGTTCCCACTGCGCAGAACGCGAGCGCATGTCTGAGAACACCCAACAACCGGCAGCCGCTCCATCTCAGCAGCGACAACGTCCCCAGGCACGCCCGGTACGGCCAAAGCGCAACGTCAGTACCATGCATAATTCCCAACTCGACAACGTACTCACCTTGCGCAGGTCGATAACAACGCGGATAAGGACACAATGAGCCCGACGGATGGTAAAGGTATCGCGTCAATCGGACCGAATAACGGCTGAATGATCCCCACAGCAGCTCCTCAACCGGGGCAAGAAGACTCCGAACGTGCGGACAGATCGAACCGGCAAGAAGGAGACTCAACTGGTGGCGCACCGGCGGGCCAGGACAACGGCGCAGGAACTGCGAGCATCACGGACCAGCGCGCAAAGGCCCCGCGCCAGGTGCGTTATCTTCTCCTCTCATGCGCACCCCGCGCCGGTGTTCATTGATGTTCGCGATCGCTGACATTCTGTCCAGCAAGCGATTGGAAGGGGGGCAAAGGCCTCTGCGATGAGGGCAACCGCGCCCTCGACGGCCGGTCCCAAGGCAGGCGCGTCAAAGGCAGGCGCGTCAAAGGCAGCCGCGCGAATGACAGCCGTCAGCGACCCCCCCGCCGATGTCATCCTTTCGCGTGACGAGGTCCTTTCCAGTGGCGAGGACGGATCGGGCGAGGACGAGGACGAGGACGAGGAAGAGGACGAGGACGAGGTCGACGAGCCGAAGAAGTCCGCGAAGGCGAAGGGGAAACGCAAAGCGGCTGCACCGCGCAAGACTCCTACTGATGGCGCGGCACCCAAGGTGAGCACTAGCGCTGCTCGCGGGTGAAGAGCCACACACTAACTGCAACCATTTGTAGAAGAAACGCGCGTCTCGCAAGAAGGCGGCCGACGGAGAGGAAGCGAAGCCCGCGGTTTCTCGACCTATCAAGCCCGGCGACACGAAGGTCACCTTGAAGGCCACCGAGTCTGGCGAGGCGGAGAGAGCGAAGCTGAACGAGCTGTGCGCGAAGGAGGCCCGAGAGGCCTTCCTCGGGTATGCCTACGGTTCTCTGGACTCCCGCCAGGCGTTCAAGCTCAGCTTTGGCGAAACGAACAAGCGCGACATCGACGGGTCGAAGCTGAAGATCCTCAAGAAGTCGTTCGTCGAACACGGCATCTCGCCGTGGAAGGGGCCCATCCCCGTCCTGGTCAATCTTGATTGGATCAACCTCAACACGCTCACCAAGGAGGTCATCAACAGCAGCGACGGTCCCGTCGTCCAATGGACCGACAAGGTCAACGACCTATGGGTCACCTTCCTCGGCGGGCAACATCGCCAACGAGCGCTGCAGGATCGTGAGATCGCGCTGAAGCACGACGCGTACGCCATGAACGACAAGATCGAGAAGTTGTTCAAGGCGAAGCGCAACGAAGCGGACAAAGAGGCGGCCATGGCGTACCTGACAAACCTCCGGACGAATATTCTGGCTCTCCAGGACGACCCGCTCAGATGGGTGTTCGAGTTTTACGACCTCGGTACGTGTCTTCTGAGTGCCCCCATTGCGTTGTCCTAATATGTGTTTTTACAGCGAAGCTCGAGAACAACCAGCGCGTCCGTGTCTACCTCTCCGCCAACGAGAGCATGAAGTCGTACCCGTCGACGGCGGAGGAGACCATGCAGAGGCACCACTTCCACATCTGCCAGGCCCTGCGCGTGTACGAGCAGGGAAGCCACACGCCCATGGCGATCGGCAGCACCCAGTACAAGAACGACGTCCTAACACCGATCCTGGGCGACAACGCGGTCAAGCGCGGCGACGTGAAGCTCTACGCCGAGCCGTACACGTTCAACTTTCTCTCCAACATCCTGCGTATGAGCTATGTCTGCGACGGCAAGACCGTCAAGTTCCTGACGCTCCGCGAACGGCTCACCCTGTCGCAGGTGAGGCAGACGTCCAGCATTACCACGGTGCGGATGCACAACACCGTCGGAGCAGTAAGTCCTCTGATAAGTCGTGGCGCGCGCGCAAAGTACTCACCGCACGTTCAGATGTGGGCTGGCGTGTTTGCACACCTGGTCGACCAGATGTACTTCGTGTCTCTGAGCGGCGCTTGGCCCCTCCTCGAAGGCAAGGGTTCGACGTACTCAAAGGACGAGCCCCACGGCAGAGAGTTCCTCGTCGTGCAGGCGTACTGTAGAAGCATACGCAAGCCGGAGAGCATGCCCCCCGCGAAGATCGAGGAGGCTAAGAACTTGTTTGGCAAGATCGAGACTGCGTTCTTGAAGAACTCCGTCTCTGAGGAGCGCGAGATCTGGCACCCGACGTTGATGAAGCGCATCGACGACTTGTACGTCAAACACGTCCGTCCCGTGAAGGATTTCTTTGGATGTCGCGGTTCGGACGAGTGGGTCGACGCGATGGCAACGTACTGGGAGGAGATGACCAAGGTGTGCAGGCGGTGGTGGAAGGAGGACCCACACATCCCGCCCAAGGACACTACCCGCCAGGCCCAGCAGTATGCGCTCGGAAGACTCCAGTGGATCGAATTCCGCCGCGAGTTCAAAGAATGCATGGACCTCCCCTGGCCCACGATATCGATGCTCGAGGACATGTACAACGTCCTCTACGGAGTGTCGTTGGCAATCCAATGGGTAAGCACTCGATTTCTTCTTCGTCCGGCCGCAGACGCCCGCGACTCCCGCGAAACACCACATGTGTGCAGTTTCGCGCGCGATAACGCCCGCGACTCCCGCGAAACACCACACGTGTGGTGTTTCGGAGCCCATATGTACGCCAGTCGTGCGCGAAACAGCACATGTGTGCTGTTTCGCTAACGGAGAACCACAGGCTGGTGTGTATCTTCTCATCTAACATGATTCTATTCTTTCCAGCTCAGCAGACAGCTCGACCCCATGGTCGACAGGGGTATCCAATGCGGTACATGTACCGGGTTCGTCGACATCTGGGACCACACCTCGCACATGCGCGAGTACGTGACCGATTCCGAGATGATCAGGAACACTTCTGGCCTTCCTACATCGGTACATATTCTACATTTCGCTCATGTCGCTCTACTGACGTATGGTTTCCTAGTTGTGGCTGTGGATATTTGACCATATCCCCCAGCTGACTGTCGCCGACACTGAACTCAAGGAGGTTGTCACCGTCGAGGAAACTCGGTTCTATAACCTGTCCCTCAACTCCATGAACAACGCGTACCAGACGGCCCAGGAAGGCGGACAGAAATGGGAACGCTTCCTGAGTCCTTGGGCCGCTGTGTTGGGCGAGGGAGGGTGGCTGCAGGAGCACAAGGACGAGATCTCTGCCGTGGTCGCCATCTTGACTGCGCATACTCCCCGCGTGGACAGGGTGGAGACCTTGGTGGGCAGTCGTGCGGTCCGCATCCCCCGGGTGGTCACTGCCCCGCTCAGTCGTGCCGCACTGGACAGGCACGAGTGCATGTACTTCCTCACCGTCAACGTTCTGGAATGGCGAGCCCTGGACCTGCGGAACCGCGAGAAGAACCTGCAAGGTCTTGCGTTCCACATCTTCATCGCTCACAAGTTGTACGAGAAGACTATGAAGCACATGCTCGCCACCGACGTCGGCCAGTCACTTCGCGAGAAGTTCATGACGTTCCTAGACATGCATTGGAATCGGTCCGCGCAGCCACCGTCCAAGGTCGACGCGCCCGTCACGGAGCCGGCCGCCGCTGGTCCTTCAGATGTCGGCGTCGTGCCTGAAAAGGCTCCCCCACTTCCGTTGATTTCGTCAGCTCCCCGTCGTCGTTGGGACCAGGTTATCATCGACCGTCTGTTGGACAACGGCCCTCGTGCTGTGAGGACCGCGGCAGAGAGGCTTGCGCTGCGGGAGCTCGTCGCTCGGCGTAATCGCTGGGAGCAGTACACCGCCAGCCTCCGGACGATCATCAATACTGTCGTCAAGTCTCCCCTCGCGCACTACTTGCCTACGCAAAAGGACACCGTCGAGGGCGGTGTGGGTGAAGTCCTCGAGGAACTCGCCACTGTAAGGACATTTTCTGTTCCATCACATGCCCTGCCCGGACTGACTGTTCGTTTACAGAAACTCATCCACAACGCGAACCGTGCGGAGTTCCGTCGGGTTCACCCGACCGGGCCATATGTGCAGCCGAAGAAGACGCTGAAACTCATCTCGTATCCCGCCATTCCCTCCACCCATGACGTTCACTTCCATGCATCCTTGCGCGAGTTCCGCGAGCACGATATCGACGCCTACGAGGAGTTCATCGTCCAGCGCGAACTCCTCCACGCCTCACTCAAGAAGCTCCATGAGGACGACCCCACGCAGCCGTTGCCGGACATTCAGGACCTACTCCCACAAGATATCGCGCTCGCACCTCCGGAGCTGATCAACCCTCCCAAGGCTGAACCCGATGGAGACGTCTCAATGGACGAGGTTGATCCCGACAGTGCTTTCGACAACTTCCTCGACGACGACTTCGTCGGCAAGCTCACCTCCGGGCATGAGGCTGCGGGAGACGACATGGACATGGACGACTCCGAGTACGAGGACACCGACAAGAATGCGTCCGTGGACCCCGCTGCGCGTCCCCGCACCCGCTTGCAAGAGCAGCAGCAGCAGCAGGAGGAGGTCGAGAACAGCAGCGACATGGAGGTCGAGCCCCACGAGCACATCCCGCCCCCGCCCAACAACGATGGTGCGCCCCCGCCTAACGAGGACACTCCGCCCGAACCGCAGGACGATGTGCCCCCGCCCAACCAGGACGATGTGCCCCCGCCCAACCAGGACGATGTGCCCCCGCCCAACCAGGACGATGCGCCCCCGCCCAACCAGGACGATGCGCCCCCGCCTAACGAGGACACCCCGCCCGAGCCACAGGACGATGCGCCGCCCCTGCCCGACCAGGACGCCCCGCCGGAGGCCCAGAACGACCCGCCGCCCGAGGCCAGCGCAGACGGCGAGCGCGAACCGGGCGGCGACGAATCCAACCCGGTGCCGGAACATTTGCGAGACATCCACTCTGCACTGGCCCCCAATTATCCCGATGAACCCATCCCGCGTACAACGCTGGTTCGCCTCACCGCCGCCGCCGCCGAATTTCAACTGTCCGACATGCCCAAACTCGACGACATTGATGTAGAGCATCTCCCCAAGCGTTACATCGAAGACTTGTGGGAGTCCCTCGACGAGGCCGACGACATCGACCTGATTTACAACATCTCGGACCCGGTCGTCGAGAGTTTGCTTCCGAAGGCGTGGGCTCTCGCCTTGATGACTTACCGCTGCCAGAACGAAGACGAGTCGCTCGTTGTCAAGACCCTGCCCCCCATCGGTCTTCCCTCTGACTTCCATGACATGTACTACGACAGGCTAGAGCAGGCGTTTGAACGGATGGCACCCTCCAACACTGCACATGAGCTCAGAATCGCCGCGACTATCTTGTACACGATATTCGTTAGGGAGGTCCCTTCGTCGCGCTCTGCTGGCCCCTCGCAGGATTCCTTCTTCTCCTCAAACAGCCCCATCGACTCCGCGATGGACACGGACAGCTCGGATGACTCCGGCATGGACTCCGACAGCCCAGCGCCGAAGCGCAACAAACGCAACAAGGGGGGCGACGAGGGGGGCGACGAGGGGGGCGACGAGGGGGGCGACGAGGGGGGCGACGAGGGGGGCGACGAGGAGGGCGACGAGGGGGGTGACGAGGGGGGCGACGAGGAGGGCGACGAGGGGGGTGACGAGTCGAACGACCCCGCCCCGGAGCGCGACGTCCGCGGGAAGCGGCCCGCTAACCTGAGGTCCTATGGCAAGTCGACCGCCTCGTCAGCGCGGGGCGATGGGCGTTCCCACACCGCCTATCTCACGTCGGGCGCGGTCGGCTTCCTGGAGAAGTTCCCCAACATCGACGACGACACTCCCCTCATCGACCACGGTCTCGACGTCTCGATCGCCTGGAAAGCGGCCGACGTTCAAGGTGACGAGCTCTTGGACAGGCTCAGCGAGACGTCCACGGCTCCCCTCAAGGCCGTCCACTACGCGCTCGCGCTGGCCTCCTACCCAGCGGTCGGCAATATGCGCACGCAAGTCGTCGAACTCCCACCTGTTGGATTGCGCCCCTCCCTCCATGACTCGTACAGGGCTGAGCTTGTGCGTCGCATGGATGCCGCGAAGATTGGTGAGGCCCCGTACTCGGACGACGAACGGGGACCGCAGGTCATCGCGGCGGAGCTTCTACGGGCAGCGATCCAGGACCCGCTCACTTTGACGAAGTACTTCGTCGAAGCCACGCAGGATGACGCTGGCGCTGAGGAGCAACATGGGACGGCCCCCCCTCAGGGAACGCAAGTCGGCGCCTCGGAGGTGCCTTCCTCCTCGATGCAGGAGCCGCCGTCTACGCCGACGCCCGCTCCCCGTGAGTTCTGTCATATAGCGGTTGTAGCACGTGTACTAACACCATTGTGCCATCTTCTAGGCACCTCGAAACGCCTCCAGGCTGGCGCGGCCAAGCGCACCATGGTCGAGTCACCGGAGGATTCGCCGGTCAACAAGAAACCTCGCAAGTTCACGGCGACCAACGCGGCGAGCACCAGCGCGCGGCGTGGTAGGGCTGCTTCGGATGCGACCAGCTCGCGCCCGCCGCCCTCGCGCTCGAGGGCAAAGGGGAACAAGGCAACGCGAGCGGCGCCGCTCGAGCGCGTCTCCGAACCCGCTGCGGAGGAGGACGAGGATCCAGAGATCATGCGCGAGTTTGCGTCCTGAACGTTGTTTGACCGCACCTACTACCATATCTACCAGCTACGTCGGCCGTCGCGTGAGCCCCTCGCCCAAATCGCCCCAGTCATCATGTACCTCGCATCTACTTAGTCCGCATCTAATACATATCGCCCGTCGTTTCTTGTCATTGGACAACGTAGTGTCGTCCCGATCTACCGAGTGCCTCAAGTCTCTTCCGCCCCGCCGGCTATCTTGTGCACCGCTCCCTATATAGAATATAGTTTCCATGGGTGCGGCGGAGGTGGGTCCTCCATGGCCAGTTCCACCCTCCGCTCCGTCCAATTTGATGGGTAAGATTTCCGTTCAGGGTATGTATATTTCCAAGGCGATCTGTATCGGTCATCGCTCCAGAGCCCGCGCGCCGCACAGGGGGTTTGTTTCAGCTGGATGTCAGCCGAACCCTGTGTCGATTATACGAGGCCACAGAGCTGTCCGCGCCCGTAACACCATCCCCCATCCTGTCCTCTTCGTAGAACAATTCCCCTACTCCCTCGCCGACCATGCCGCCCCTACCCCGAGCGAATAATGAGCTAGAATCGTAAGCCGCACCCCCTACATCTGCGGTGTCTGTTTCGACAACCTGACCTGGTTCAGGGATCTCGAGGAGGAGGACGCGGAGGTGCTGGAGGGCCAACTGGAAGACACTATACTGGGCGCGTCTGCCTTTAATGTAGGTCACCATGCAGAAGGCCCCGCTGGAATGGTCGTCGAGGATTGGGTCCCTATCACAATGGTCGCAGACGACGGCGTAGACCAAGACACCATCACGCACAGCATCCCTCCGGAGGATATCGACACGACGGAGATGGCGCTGCTGTACGACCGACTACCAACGTCCACGCTGAAGATGTCGACCCTGGAGCGTATGCACAAGGATGGAGACCAAGGTCGCGCCCTCGCCCTGCTCAGCAAAAAGAACCGACTTCACATCGACTCCAAGTACATGTTCGACGTCATGGATCCGAATCTGTTCTTCAAGATGAGCCAGGTGAGCGGTGCCCTTGTTATTATTGTTTGTTATCCGACAACCGCTGCAACTGGGGACAGGTATACATGGATCATCGCTTGCTCATTGGCCGTGAACTGGGCTTCGATCTCATCCTACCCAACATGAACGTCCATAAACAGGCGCAAAAAAAGTCTCCGCTAGGGTTAGCCCTAGCCATTAGACGCCATGGCTAGGCAAGCGCCCGCGCGTGCAAGCCCAAGCGCCCGCTGGCACAGCTTTTGCCATCCCTCTCGCGCGCAGGGTTGTGCGCACCGTGTCTGGCACGCGGGTCTATACCCCATGTTTTGGCCATGTAATAAAGTAGTATACCCCTAATAGCGACCTCGCGCCTCGGTACTTGTCCCTCAACCCCAATTTACAACCTCATCATCTCCTATTACCAATATATTTGTATATAGCACCATCCCGTGATGCATGTATCGCTCTATAAACACGATGCCATAACAGTTGTATACCATTTTGTGCATGTTCCGTCATTAGACACCCCCAAAAAAAGCGAAACTGCACATGTGTGCAGTTTCGCACCTCACGAGG